CTTCACATACACTTCTGATACAATGGCATCAGTTGAGGGTGTACATTTTTTCCTCACTAGTTATACTAATAAAAGCCTTAATGTGGACATGTCTCTTACCCACAGAAAGGTGACTCATTGGAAGGAAAATACCTAGGCTAGCATGAGTAGCTATGACAGATGTCCCAGTATAGCTGTATCCGCACTAGGGACTGGTACAGCAGTACAGTACGACTTTCCAGTGCAGAAGAGACCTCCTTCTATGCAGTTCCAGTGCGGGGATGATCTGTTGCAAAGGTCCTTCAGTGCAGAGGTCCTTCCTGCCCAGAGGGGAAGAAACCTGACTAGAAACAGTTCCTGCACTTAAACTGGTGAGAATAAAAACCCTTATCCTAATGTCTGTAGGCATGTCTGATCTCTAGCAGGGGTTGCAAAGGCATTCCCCTCCCAGTGGTGCACTAGTAACACCACACACCCCACAGGCACCAAGTGACAGACTCGGATGAACTTCCAGTGTCTGGAGGCGGAGGGGGCTTGGCTCCGACTTCACACTTGGCCCCTCAAACCTCTGTTGAGGCTTCCACCTTCCTGGCTTCAGACCCTTTCCTTTGGCTGGCTCCTCCAGCCCAGGTCTACTGTCCTGGACCTTAGCTTCTGGGTCCCAGCCCTGTTTCACCCTCAGGCTCTGGGCCTCTGGCTCAGTCTTGTGTGGCAGCCCTTAGGGTCCCTGACCCTGTGTAAGCAGTTAGCGTGCTGCTCCACCCCCAGGGTCCCTGACCCTGGATAGGCAGCTTGTGTGCTGCTCTGCCCCCAGGGTCTCTAACCCTGCTTAGACAGCTTGCATCCAGCTCTGCCCCCAGGGTCCCTAACCCTGGCTAGGCAGCTCTACACTGGATGCCTCTCATGGACTTCTGTGGCCTCCAAACTGTCCCTATAGTCACAACCCAGTCCTTTGGTCTTAAACTTAAATGTAACAGAAATATAAGTAAACAGCTTGCACAAAAGTTTTCCTCCACTGTGGGTCAATACCCCACCACAAACTATACCTCCCTCTTAGTTGTCTTGGTTTACCTCTTGTGGGTAGCTTAGGCGTCCGTGTGCCTGTTTACTGCAATCACCTTCTCTGGGATTTCCTCTCCCTGCAGCATGCAAGGCCAGACTGCTTCTTCTGTCACAGGCCCTGGGCTTACCTGTCTCAGAGCCTCACCCCTTCCTGTCATGCATCTCCCCAGCCACACACAAGAGCTTCTCATTTACTTAAGGGCCAGCCTGTGCTCTTCTACTGCCAGCTTAGCCAGCTGCACTCTCTTGAAGTTACATTTCTCTAAGACATCTTGTGTTCAAGACTGTCAAGCAAAGTGGGCTGTTTGCAGCTCCGACAGAGCACATTCTAAGCCACAACAGCAAAGCAGCTTATGCCTTTTCTGTCCAACTAAGCGGGGTCTCCAAATTGAATAATCATTGGGTTTAACCTGCATCCAAGCATGCTAAGGCACAGCTAGAAAGCATCCTGCTGAGGGTTGCCAACTTTGAATCACTCCTGCCTTGACTTCCAAGATGAAGGCTTTCCTGGAGTTTGACTGATCCTTTTATTAGGGAATGTGGCTATCCAGAAAGGTTTTCCTTCACTCCTTTCTCTTGTATGAGCTTGTTCTTTCTCATTTGTAGAACCACCCAAATCTAATTCATGCTCTGGTTAATGCTGACATTCATCTTAGTCATGTTTTGCCCGGCTTGTACAAGTTTAGTCCTTTTTAACCTTTCTGTGTAGATCAAGCCTTCCCAAAGCTATGAATAAATAAAAGCCTTCTGTTCATGCCAATAATGGTCTTTTAACAGTTGCAAGAACAAAAGGGTGACCATACTGAAAAATTCCAAATATTTGAATTTTTCCATCTCCAGCTGTTTTCTTCCCCCTTTAAAGTAATGACATCATTATACTGGGAATCTAGAGAGAGAATTAACAGGGAACACCAGCTGTGTTGGGTGCTTCTGGGGGGGGGAAGTAAGGGGGGGCAGCCACCATGCCAACCCACCTCAGCAGACACCACACAAACACACACATGCACACAGCAGCAGTAGGGCTGGGGGAATCTAAAGCATCTGAATGAATTGTAAGAGCAATACATTTATTTTCACTTTAATCTGAGGTTACAAGTACTTTTAGACCCTAAAATTTGCTTGCTGGATCTTTAAGTTTCAAAGGTGGGTAGCAGACTAGGGGGGTTCTGTGCTCCCTGTGCACTAGGAAGGGTTTTTAGGAAGCTATCTGGACACAGAGGAGGCATGTGGGGGCTTGGACACTGGCATAATGCTTAAACAAATGGAGGGTTACAAGTTGCCATGTAGCTGGGGCACAGATTTCATCTTCCCTCCAAACTCCCACATAAGAAAGCCACCTGCACAACTTATAAAGAGCACCAGCAAGCCCGCATAAAAGGGAACACAAAAGGCTGCCCCTCATACTGCCAAAGGATAAGAGAGAAGTAAATATAAAACGTCATTGCTAGCTACAAAAAGGTAAACGCTTCAGCAACCACTATTACATGATACAAAGGTGAACTATCAGCCCTTCTGGGCTGTGGCCACGTAATGCAATCAAAGTAAATAAAAAGCCTTGCACAACAAACATGATGGGACGGGGATTGGGATGAGGAGGGATGGGAGACTGCAATTTAATAACTGAAAGCATCTTGCAGGAGAAAATGCAGCCCAAGTTCCTGTCCTTCCCTCTTATTTTCTTTTAGTTTCATGGATCCCTAAGGAACTTGCATCCTAGAGGCAGCTAGAGACAGCCATCTCCCATGGTTATAGAAAACATGAAAGACCAGAACTTGTCTGGACATCCTCTACAAATTCCTTCTGAAGGTGGACAGTGGAAAGTCTTGCCAATAAATCCAAGACCCCTTGGGGTAACCAGTATAAATATACTCTCTCTCTCTCTCTCTTATAGTTGTCACAATTGCACAAAAACCAATGGGTTTCCACTTTCGAAATGATACTGAAGATCACATTGTCCCAGACTTGGGCACAAGTCTTGTCTCCTTCATAAATGGGGAAAGCAGCTTGAGAGCACAAATCAACAGTGTAAGGCTAAGAACCTTGTAAGAATGTTGCAGTGATCAAAATGGTATGTGCATCAAGTCAAGCAATTCAGAGTCAAGGTTAAACTTCAAAGAAATGTCAACATATGGAAATGTGTAGCAAGGTTATCCAAACAACCTTAACTCTGCCCCATGTAGTGAAGCTCTGGATAAACCTGAAACAGTAGGATAAAATTACCAGCCATAACAAACAAGTTTACTATATAAAAAAGTCACAAAAACTAGAGGCTGGGACCATGAGAAGAGAGACATTTTTTATATCATAAAGGAACTCTGCATCTTTCCTTCATCAGTCCCCTTGTAGTTTATCAGGGGCTCAGTGGATACCAAAGCAGTGTTACACTGCTGTTTTTTGGCAGACATAATTTAGAAAAGAGTTCTCATGACATGAGCTTTTCACTAGTTCATGGAAATAGTTCTAATACAGCCAAATTTTTACCAGGTAAAACAGTCTCATGATACACTAAGAATATCCCCAAGAGTGCATTCACAAAAGAGCTGATTATTGTTACCATTTGCAAACACAATAACAATGCTCTAATTTGGCGGCTGTCACTTGAGGCAGAAATAAAAGGAAATTCATAGTTCTCTGTGTCTAACAGAGATACAAAGCAGCACTGAGCAAAAGCATATCTCTTTATGCAGCACAATAATCCCGACAAACGCCTTCAGTTCAAACGCTCATTTTTGTCTACAGATATGGCATTCTTTCCCAATCAAATTTACACTATAAAGTGCTACCTTATTGCTGTTTCCATGTCTGTTTCTTTTAAATATTATTTTTAAAAATCTGATATTTAAAACTTGTTAAAAGTTTTCATTTAAGGAGGGTAAAGACCTAAAGTAGAAATGATGGCAGGTACAGAAAAGCAACAACAGCCCCACTAAATCCCAGAGCTTCTAGGTTTTTGGGAGCTTTCGTGTTCAAACACATCACTTAGGTTTGCTAGGACGTACTAATAACCTGCAGTGCTTTTCTGGAGAATAACAACAGCAAGCTGAGGTTGCTACTGAGACAGCCTGGCATTAAGTAGCTGGTCCTGTGATGTACTATATGACCTTTCTCATGAACTTTATGCCTCACAAGAACACAAAAATAAATGGAAACACCTCCCATTGAGGCCACTGTATACATGAAGCCTGATCAGTCCATCAGTTACCCAGGTATAAATTTGAAGGAAGTCAACTGAAATGAATGGAGTTACACTGATCTAAAATAAGTGAGAAGTCCAGGACTATCAGCAAAGGTACTGCTGTCCTGGCCACCTGCCTGCTTATTCTTTGTTAAAGCCAAGCCTGTATGCAGTGTCTTAGAAACTCTTCAGATAACTGCAGCTTTTTTAAAACACGGCATTTGAGCTGAGTAACAGACTCCCTCTCAAGAGAAACCAAAGATGTGAATCTCTGCCCTTAGAAACCAGTGTGCAAGCCAACCGGAGTCACAGTTACACTTCTCATGAGGGAGAACTGGCTGTCCTGTCTCATTGAGTTTTGCTTTTTTTTCTTGAAAGCCAAATAGATCTGGGCTGGTTCTTAAACTTCCTAAATTTCAGAGTGGTCAGATGGGAAGGCTGAATCCAGGGGTTGCTGTGCATCATGGTATAGTTTACATATCAATGAATATGAGGACCGGGGTGGGGGGGGCAAGGTTCAGATTTTGTTCTTGATTTTGGCCAAGTCAACCCAAGGTAACAACCCTGGTTTTGTTCCACTGGAAGTATAGGCGTTCCAATGGCGTTTACTTCAGGATTACACCAGTACCAGTGAGAACAGGAACTGGCAGACATCTTTGCCTTTTATACTGACAGATAATGAACATACTGATTTGTCTTGACTGCTGAACAGTTCTAAACACATTCACCTTACTCGGGCCCCACTTTGCCACAAGTCACATGCTGTTGCTTTGATGATACTCACCATGGTCATGTGCAAACACAAACAAGTTAAGTCCTGTCAGCATCTGGGCCAAGTCATCATAGCGGCCGCAGTGTTCCCCAGCGCCATGAGCGATAAACACGAGGGCCCTAAACGGAGCATCAAGGTATACATTATTAAATTGGAAACCAGCCTACAAAGGCTCCCGAGCTGTGGGGAAAAACAGTGTAATCATTTCATCAACAACCATCTCGGAGATCAACAAATGCAAGTCAAGTAACTGTGGGGCATGGGTGTAGCTTAGAAGATGGTAGCATGGTGAAGAAGGGAGCAGATCATTTGGTAGCAGCTTGTAGCATCTAAGGAGGAAAACAGCATCAGTTTGATCCTTGCCAGATAGCTTGGTGGTGACCGGACACTGACTCCACTACACTAAATGGACACAGCTGGTTCCAGTGAGCATCCACAGGTTGAAATGTAGACAGGTTGCTAACAATCTTTTAGCTGCATAATTACATTGAGGTTTGGAATCTGCTTTGCTGGAAGTCAGCTTTACCACTTGGCTTCGTGGGATCAGGGTTAGGATTTCTCTAAGTAGTTTCAAACAGATATATAATGATTCATTTTTAGAATTCAATTGGTGCCTAATGTTACTGCACACAAATGGCTACTAGATTTTAGCTAAAGAGGCCCCCAGGACATGAGGTGAAGTTTGGAAACCTCTGGAGCATGATCCTAGTTCAAGTATTGTTACCCATTTCCAGCTTCAACCAAAGAATAGCTTGCATACGGTGGCAAGCGAAGTGACTCTTTAACAGTTACAGCAGAATTAGTTTTCATAGACCGTGCGGAAAAACCCAATAGGATCCTATGTGTAATGCACTATACAAGTGCTTATCCGTAAAGACTTACACTTAGAATTTTTCTTGCATTTTCTGTGGAATATAATGAAATAAAGATGGCTTGTGTTGAATGAAATTTCCCTATAATCTTTATTGAACTGCATTTGTAAGGACTGCTGATTTTTTTGTAGAAATAACTTGTGGCCAACAGAGAATCTAGAAGCATTTCTCAGCCTAACACTTTTCTCTCTCAAACGTAGTTATTGCAATCTGATTTGTTCATTTAAAGATATAATCTGTCAGCAGAACATCAGGCTGGAGGCTGCTACTTAGATGTTTTCAGTACATTAAAAAACCCTAAATTAAAGAATAATTTAGTGAAATCCTCAACCCTACTTTGACTAGGGCTTTTAATACGTCTTGAAAAGATGTAACCACTCAGATCAAATCACACCGCTTTGATCTTAGTAGCATCTAAACCCCAAAAGAACCTGTGGTAACTACTGCTCCATCTCTTTGATTAGTGCCAACTGCACAATAATTGGTAACGCTAGTCACTGTGAAGAACTGCCTCTCCAAACAAGATGGACTTCACTGTAGCAAACAGGAGATTTGGTAACAGAGGCCCAAGATTACTCTGACAGTTGGGTAACACTAATCAGGAAAGACGAGAGCAGGTTTACACTCTCCGGCTCACAGTGTTAGGAAGCATTTGATAGGCCTTGTTTAGTGGTTCAAAAATGACCTATGAAGTTGTACTAATGCCTAAAGCTGATATTTCCCTAGGGTTGGGTATTTGACTGGTCAAATAAAGTTCAGTCAATGGACCAGTCAAATATCAGTCAAAAATCATAAAAAATTGCCAATAGATCCAAATAATACACAGAAAAAGCACATATTTTCCATTAAGAAATGTGTCAAAAAACAATAAAAATCATTTTTCTTTCAAGAAAACTACAAAAAAAAAAAAAAAACCAATTTTTCCCTTAAAAAATTGGTCAAAAAAAAAAAAAAAACCAATTTTTCCCTTAAAAAATTGGTCAAAAAAAAAAAAAAAACCAATTTTTCCCTTAAAAAATTGGTCAAAAAAAAAAAAAAAACATATTTCTTTAAAAAAAAATAAAAAAAAAAAAAAAAAAAAAAAAAAAAAAAAGGAGGGATGAGCTTTTTGTAAAGTTGCTGTAATCTTGGACCAGTCAAAAAATATGAAGTCAATTGACAGGCTTGCCAACACTATATTTCTCTGAGAAAAGGCTAAACGTACCAAGCAGTCAGAACAACGGATATGAAGTTGGGGAGGGTACCAACGCTAATTTGACCGTACTAAAATGCATGTTTCAGATCCTGCCATAGTTTTTCTTGCCTGGCCATCAGATACAGAACAGAGGTAAGAAAATTGAGGGGAGAAAATCCTGCCTTTTATGCATTTACAAGGTGTTCATCACGATAGTGCATTTTCTTTTCAGTCAAAACACTGTTTAAAATGCTACTAATGTACTGAGTAGAGTGCAGAGCATGAAAACCTAGTTGCAAGTTGATCAAGAACCAGTTTTATAGGGAGACATTAGCTGGTACTTTCTTTCTCATAAACCGTAGCATACTTCCACTTTCATTCATCTCCATGTAGTCTCACTGCCTTGAAACCAGGTCCTACAGAGTGGTTAGTGCACCCTCACCTTCTACTAAAATCAGTAAGAAATGAGGAAGCTGAGCCCCCCACAAATTGACGCTCCAGGGCCTGAATCTGCCACCTTTTCCACTAGTAATTCTTATTCTCTCCTACAGCCCCAAATAACTACAACTGAACTGCTTACCTAGGTAATGCAGAATCAGACCCAAGGACAGAAACTGTCTTTCTTTGGCTTGCAAAACATCATGGATAAAGTTCTCAAAAATGCTTGAGCGACTTAAAAGCCCAAGTTCCAATGATTTTTAATGAGATGTAAATATGTAAGTGTACACACACACGCAACTTAAATATATAACAGGTAAATATAGTGCTGTATAAATATGGGGCACACCACCCAAAACTCATAGCACTGCTTCTTGTTCCTCAGTTCAGGAAGGTCGTTAAGCTTGTATCCAACTGTGGTAGTACCACTGGAGTCAATAAGTGTGTCCACACAGCAAAAGAAAGGTTCAGTTCCAGCGAGGGCAAGCAGACCTCGCCTTGGTATAATTTAGTTAGCTCAGGTGACAACAGTGAAAATGTGACAATATGGGTTAGCATGCAGAGTAGGTTGCTAGGGTTCCTAGAGGAGGGATCCCATGCTTAAGCCCTCTGCTGCCCTGTCTTCACTGCTGTTATCTGAAGCTCAAACTCAGCTAGCAGCAGCCCACTTCCATGTGCTACAATCACACCTTCACTCTGCTGGGTAGGCACATTAAGGGAGACCACATGGATGCTTAGGCAGTCATGTGCTTTACCTTCAGGCATGGAAGTTACTAGATAGCAGTGGCAAGATGCTGCTGTTGCTGAGTGCCCATGTGGCAGAGTGAAGAATTAAATATGCATATACGTTAATTATTTATTGCTATATTAATTATGCATGTTTGTTTAGCATACTTCTTGTAGCTGATGCATAGTGTCTTTGCCCTCAGTATTTTGAATATTTCTGTACCTAGCATTATCACTGCCTATCTCATTTACATTCTTACTTTCTTACAGCCAAGGACTTGAATTACACTGGTCATTAAGTCTGGATACTCTAATGCTTGGGGTTAGTACTAAAAATATATTGAGGAATGTATTGAGTTTTTGATTAATGCTACTGGAGCTGATGTCCTGTGGCAGCCCACAGCTTCTAGAAATACATGTTATATGCTATTATTATAATAAGGATTCAAATGCTGGCTGATTGGGCCATGGAATATGCTTTCTGGCTTTTTTTCATTTGTCATGATAGGGGCTACTAAAATCAAGGTACCATTGAACTAGATTTAGAGCGGGGAAAAAGCAAGAGTGCAAGTGGGGATGATGTGATATTAAGGCCTGCGGTCTCCTGAACAGCAAGGGCTTCAGGCACTTTGATGGGAACTGTACATGTTCCTTTAGGACCTGGAAAAAGGTCTCCAAGCACTAAGACTAGACCATAAAACAATACATTCTATCTCTATATATACTAAAACCTTAAGTACAAATGTAACTGTTGTCCTGAATAAGGAGGGAACACATATATAATTACTTTCCTGAATCAACTTAAGTTTATGGAATGTTATTCCATGCTAGACGCATTTTTTTTTTCATGTTAGATATGTTGCTACTAGCACCAGCATGGCTTTTAAAATAGAGGAGCTGATTATCTGCAATTTGAACAAGAAATTAACCCCCCTACCGAAATGAAAAAAATCAACAGAAAGCTGCGCAATTCAATGCATTAAGGGAGACAAGAAATTGGGGACAGGAAAATTATTGTGTCAACTGAAAAGTGCCATTTAAGCTGATTTTATGACCTGAAGGATAGGAATAGCAAAGAGGACACACCTAAGCAGCCTTCTCTCTACAAGAAATGTTATAACAAGAGTCAACAGCATTATTGCACACAAAATCTAATGTAATGGTGTGGATAAT